TAGTTTAATTTTTATTAATTATTAAATGTTGGTATTTAAAAATAGTCGAGGATTAAAATTATTTGGCAAAAATGCAACAAGAAAAAATGAAGCAACCCATGATTTTCAAGGAATTTTCAAGAGAGTAGAGAATTTCCTTTTAGATTCCAATCTCCACCTTCATCTCACACAACGACTCAATCAATTTGGTATCTTCGCTATTCCTTTTTTTTCTGATCAGGACAATCGCGCTCCATCCTGGGCGAAATTCGGACGGGAAAATGGAGTTAAATGAAGCAATAAATCTCTTTTTTTTGAAAAAAGGAAAAAACCCTAGAAAGATTTTTAATTTTGAAAAAAGGTTCTAAACTTATTTTTAGTATAATTAAATATTAAAATTTAATAAATAAATTTGTTTTAAGCCTAAATTTTTACTTCCAATAGCTTAGGAACACTTTCCTTTTATTTCTTTGCTTAGTTCATTAAAATTAAAAATTTAGATGTTTATTTATTAATTGAAATTACTTAGAAAAAAAAATATATGTTTATCACTGAAAAGTAGTATTTTACATAATTTTTAAAAACTTACCCAAATTCTCCTTATCCTTATTGTAATCACAAAACTTTTTTCACTTCTGATCACTTATGATATTTTATATATATTTTTTTATTGTTTTGTCACTTTTCACTTTTTATCATCCCATATATTAAGAATATTATTGAGAATTTAAATGCGAAATTAAAATGAGCTCGTGCAGAGGAAGAGAGAGAATGTTGACTGCGCACGAAGGCCGCGCATCTTTCCCCCACTACTCGCTCTGGTCGTGGTGGTGGGGCGACGACTTATATATCGTGCACTGACTCCTTTGCGTTCAGTCCGTCGCTGGACTTGACTCGAGGTGCGTCTCGGACTAAGAGGAATGTTTGGTTTTTCATTTTAGATGATCCAGTCTAGAAATATCCTGCTCATCACAAGATGCCTCGCTTCGGAGGAACTCCCGCAAATTCTTTATTGAAGTTTTAAAAAAATTAATCACTCTTGTTAATTAACATCCTAATGAATTAAATTCTGGGTTCCAAAATTATCGTTTAAAAAAAATCTATCAAAGCACATTGATAAATGTTTCCCAAAAAGGTTAAAAAAAAAGATTGAATCGTACTTTTCAATCACCAGAAGAAAATTGACATGTCTATAAAAAGAAGGCTAGAGAAAAATCATTCCAAAGTCTATAACATTGTGCCAACTATCTTGAAACTCCTTTACCCTCAATTTGACAAGTTCGTTGGTGGAGACCGTAAAAAACAAAGCCCAAATGCGTTGGGAAACAGCCGGAGGGCTATCATTCGCAGCATTGGGAATAAAAAAGGTGCACCTCAGGGCAGTTAGAAAACAATAAAGCAGGTAGTTGAATCAGGGATATGTGAGAGAACAGTTAAAGGAGAGATGGTTAAAGGAAGTTGAACCCAAGTGGAAAAGAGAAAAAAAGCGAGAGAGCAAGAGGGAAATGAGAGATAAGGATAGAAACTGGAAGAAGTACGCGAATCGAGAATGGAATATAGAGCGGTAGAAAGTCGATATTCGACGAACCAATAATTCACAGGTCATTCCTTATTCAAGCTTGAAGAAGCAGAGCTCCAACTGCAATCTCCAACTGCACACGTACACCACCCAAAAAGATCCCAACCTCTTCCCGCGTTCAAACCCAGGAGATCCTCTTTTTTTTTCTCTCGTCAAGAGCTCTAAACTTCTCATACCTTCAGAATTGTGGTTTTTTATACACACTGTATACTTGCTAAATCTCTAGACGTCGCGTTACCTCGTTTCTTAAAAACCAAGATTACGAATGTTTTCAACAACCCAAAGCGCTTCAATGAAATATTTAAATAAATCTGTCAATCTCCCTCTCTAGTGAATATCCTTGGCAAGTCTCGCAAACTTTATTTCCTTTTCTCTTGCTTTTCAAAATCCACGAGAGTTAAACGCTGATCAAACTTGTCTCGTATTGCAAACGAAAAGAGGTGCTTTAAAAGGTCTTTTATTTGTACATATACATACATACAAAAAAAAATTGATTGTCATGCTTAGAAGAAAAATTTCTCAATCAGGAAAATTGATTGAAAAAAGGAAACTTCAAGTGCTTTTAACGTTTATTCAAGACACGGAATAATGTAAAGGATTTTCGAGATTTTTACCTCCAGAGAATTTAGTTGAATTTGCACAATTTTAAATTCATAAAAACCACGTGTTCAACAGTTCATTTAAAAATACAGAAATGGAGAAATATTTATATTTCCGTTTTGCTGATTCTATAATTGAGAAATAATAAATAATATTATTTGAAAGATAATTAAATGTTAACTGAAAATTTGTTAATTATGGCTAAATTTGTATATTGTAATAATAGATAGTGAGAGGAAAGGTTGAATTTTATTTTAATTATAGAAATTCCTATTTACCCTCCAACCGACGAATTTTGCATAATAAATGAAACTTTATACATTATGAATCAATTATAAATTGTTTATAACACCCCAAATGTGAAGTGATAAAAAATAAAATAATTATAACCATACGTTTACTAATTGCAAATTAAATACAATTAATAGAAAAAATGAAAAAAATTATACGATTTATTTCCACTGACATTCCAAACGAAATCGATTTTTCTGATGTTCGTTGAGTTTTGGAATTTATTTGTCTCGAAAGTGACAAATTACAAAGAAAACGTATCATGAATAATCCATTGTTGTTAAAATGGATTCGTTCAAAGGCATTTTCTGAAATCGATTTTTTTTCGCTTTTACACTTCCAATGAAAGTTTGATCGCAACATGAGTTGACGATGCTACAATTCCTGAAGCTTATTGACTGACGTAAAACAATTGATAATTCAAAAAAACTAAGTTTTACGAAGTGTAATTTTAAGATTTATGTAAAAATAAGAAAAAACGGGTCAGATTATTAAAATCCAAAATGGCGGATCCAATATGGCGGCCAAATTTAAAAAATTTGTCAAATTAAGTGGAAACTTGTTATTAGGGGTCATGTGGGCTAGAAAGCAAAAAACCTGGGTCAAAACCGCTAGATGTGTTTTAAATTTGATGATATTTCTCACTTGGAGGTTTTTGGGGTAGCTTACGAATCTAAACATGGTTTTTCAAAATTCAAGATGGCGGATCCAATATGTCGGACAAAATTTGAAACAATTAACGGATTTTCGTATTTGACGTCGGTTTTTTAAAAAACAAAATGACTCCTATTCACGTCATTCTCGAATCCCTCAAAACCCAAAATACCTAATTGGAGAAGAGAAAATAATTAAGAGCCACGGATTGGATTAACTTCTCCATAAACTTTAATACCATGTTTAACGACAAAGAAAATGATGATCAATACGTGTCATCGGGATCAGAAAGTTCAGCAAAGGCAGATCCTGAAGACTTTCACCTACTAAGTTTAAAGCCTGGCGCTACGATAGTTGAAGAATGGTTTTCAGCCAAAGGGTGTGGTCCTCAGTGGGTCGACCACGACAAGAGAGCGGTCACTCCCACATAAACTTCGAGTACGAGCTCCTTGATATCCGATAGCAGCTACCCTCGTGAACCAAAAAGAAAATAGTTCTCCAAAATGGTCAACTTTGTCAAACGTCTTAGCAAAATTGAGCACCTAAAAGCGATCATCAAACTAAAAATTCTTCATCAACAAAATATCTAACTTAAACAAGATACAGTATAGACAAAAATTCATTAGAATGGGACGGACCCAAAATTCGCCAATTAGACTCTTTTCCTAATGCATTTTCTTCATCTTAAACCAATCCTAAAATAGCCAACCAATTTTTATACTTTATTTATTGAACTAAATTACTAAACCAAGAAATAGAGGAAGAAAGTGTTCCTAAGCTATTGGATGTAAAAATCTAGGATTAAAAAATTTATTAATTAAATTAAAAACAAGTATTGTTATTTACCATATTTTTGGGGCGTAACACTATAAGTAAATATCATCTCAAAAATTTTGATTCTAAATTCTCCTTTTGTTGCCTTGTTTCCCTAAAAGCTTTTACATGTGTTAGCATTTTTCCATTTTTGCTTCTACCATATTTTCTTTGTGTGTACTGTCCAATTGGCAAATGAAAGTATTTCAGAACCTTTGCTCCATGAATCAATATTTTATGGACAGAAGCAGAACTGTAGTAGCAAAAGGTTTAGAGTTATATTTATGTTCCTTGATACATGCGTACTTTTCAAAATCATCTAAATCTATCAAATATCTGGTTTTTAACATCTGTTATCAAATTTTTGACTTACAGATTAAAATTTTTTGATCATCCAATTTGGATTCACCAAATGGATGAATCACCAAATGGATGATTCACCAAATGGATGATGAGGAAATTTACGACTTGAGTAAATAGGGAACAATGGGGTACACCTTAAATTGTAACAAATCGTCTATAACTTATCGGTAAGACTATAGTTGTCTTATAGTGAAAGGTTATTTATTATTTAGAATTCTCTAGAACGATGTTGGTTGGAAGTAAATCAACTCTAACTTGCTTGAGAACTAGAAAGTGCAATTGCCCGTGATAATTTGTTACTAATTGATGGTGTACAGTCCAATTAACTTGGACCTAGTGGTCGTGGTCAGATGTGAAATTTCGATATCGAGTCGTCCGCGGTCAGGTCTTACACTACATCGAGATACTAATTGCAGCACTTACCTTTAATAGCATTGCACATCTGCCTTCGGCGTGATACTCAATAGCACAATACTACTTCCTCCTCGAACCGAGACGTATCGTTAGAGAGTTAATACAAGTACCACATAGTTCTAGTTGCTTGAGAACTATGCTAAGTGTTGCTCGATACCATCTCTGTCTCTCATTTCAAGATGATGACAAGTTAGGAGACTCCCTAATCGATACCATTGTGGAGGGAATATAACTGCAATTATCATATTATACCCCCCACAATACAATGCCTCCTATTTTAATCTTCATAATTTAATTTTTGTTTCAGAAAAAAAGTGATGCAATGCAGGAATAATCGTCTTCTTGAAAATTGTAAGTTAAACCCAATATTCTAGAATTTTAACTACGTGTTTGAATTAAAGCATTTTTTTTCCTTCCTCTAACTGTGTTGCGGAGAAAAAACCTCCGCATGACACATTCTATAAATTTTTTTTCTCTTTTCATTCTTTTCGCTTTGCGTGAGGCAATTCTATTTTGCAGTCATTGTCACGAAGAAAATTCATCGCAGCACTTATCCGGCGAGGTAAAAGAACGCTTATACGTAACACGTTTTACAAAACACTGAAAGAACGCACGTGAACCGACCGTTTGTTTTATTTCTACCTGACAGGATTTCCGCCAGCTTGAAAAATGTATAACGTTTAAATTAACGCAATTGCGGATTTTGTTGCTGACAAAAATTTTCCCCATTACTAGATATATAAAAAAAGACAACATTTATTCAACCGGAAAAATTCGGAACAAAATTTATTATCAAATCGACAGTGAAAAGTATTTAAATTCCAATTATTAATTTTATGTTCGATATAACGTGTTTTTTTTAAATTATAATCAATTAATTCTATAATTAATGGAATGTGAATAATTATTCATGTTTGCATTCTTTGTTCCATGTTCTGAATTCCGGATTCTATATTCAATTCCGTTTTCCACATTCATCGTTCCTTTCACATATGATGAGAATGTAAGGAAAAAAAAATAATTTCCAATATTCTTGGAAACTTTTACGGAATCACTCCCTTGAAATTTTCGACAATAATTCCGTAGAATTACTCGGGAAACTCTCGGGAATTTCTCAGGAGTCATTCCGCAAAACTTCTCGAGAATATTTTCACGTGGATTGTTATCTTTGGGTGGAACTTTTCCCTTCTCTGAAATGAACATTCCTCTATTTTTGTTATTATATCCGTCGAGTGATAAACTGATTATTGTCGAGGATTTCATCAAATCATCAAAATTCATCAAATTAAAATCTGGTTGTATGATTAGAATTGTTTTACGAATTTACTACAAATAGATTTCAGAGTATTACCCACTAATTTCGGATTCGAATTCATAACCTGTGGATCGATTGGGATGATCAGTTGTCGACGAAGAAAATCGTAATTCCACCATCGACACCTGATCATCAAAAGCCATGACACTATTGAGAAAGTATCCCTCCCGAGAAAGTTAATCAAGACAAGTGGGAGAAAACTTCTTCATGATAAAAATCGAAGGTGACTTTTAAGAGAAGAGTTTTTATAGCAGATCCCACATTCAGAATTCCGGATCCAAATTTTTTTCAAATACCACAATTTTCTATTTCCAGATTTGTTGAAGTCGAAAGCGGAATGTGAGAATCGGAAAGTGGAATTCTAGGTAAGTTATGTAATCGTCCCTCTGACTACATCCGAATTACTAACAGTAAGATCTAACCACGAATTTGAAAATATTTCCGGAATCCACTTCAGATTCAAATTTCCCCTTGAAGTGAATCCGGAGATTTTCGAATTGTTTCGTTTCTACTGCAAATAAAAAATGTCAACTGGGGTAATTTCGAATTACTTGGATACTATTTGAGAAAAGCTTGGAATTATTAAATTGTTTCGCGATAGTATCGGATTAATTATCCATGACGACGATTGATCAGCTGTTACGCGATAACTAATTCCTAGTAATTTCTGAATTCGGTGGCACAATTCGAAGTAATTGCTGACTAAATAGATATTGGTAACGAATTATTTTAAATAGCAAAAATCTGACAGTAGATTTGATATGTTACGATGTAATTAGTAATTACAGATTCTACATACACCGGATTAACTTTGCAGTATTTCCGAATTCAGTTACGAATTAATTGCTGAATAAATGGTTATCGTTAACGAAGACCTAATACCAAATTTGATCTTATTTGGAGTAATTAATAATTCCACCTAAACTGGATTGACTTTTGATTATTTTCGAATTCAGTAATCACACAGGCTGAAATAACTCATCCGGACTAATGTGGAATTATTCCGGAAAGCGAAAATCTAACCATGAGTTGGATCCGTTTTGGAGCAATTACTAATTCTACATAGAGCAGATTGAGTTTGGATTATTTCCTAATTCAGTAATCACACAGTTTGGATTAAATGTAAAATGTAACTAAATTGGAATTATTCCGGATAACGAAAGCTAAATTCGGAGTTAATTACTGATTGAAATTAACAAATCCGATAATACGTTTAGTAATTATGTGCATAATTGTTAATTCCATAATTGTTAATAATTATGTATCAAATTCGAATCAGAGGAATGGGAATCGTATTTGTGGTGAATGAAATAACAAAGAATCAAGTTTAATTAAATGTGTAAATTTATTTTGTATATCAAACAATGAAGATGGTTCAGAAAATCAAAGACTTCCTAAATGAAATATGGCTGAGGTAAAAACGGCACAACAAACAATTCTTAAATGAAACGTAAAATTGATAATTCAGCAGAGCCCTCATGTCAGCAGCTCAACTTTTGAATGAACACTGTCCGTTTAACTTCTTAATCCATTCTCATCCCCTCCACTTTTCGTCACAGAGTTATTCGGAAAAAGAAGAAAGGGAAAAGGGATGATTTATTCCGGATGTCATAAACCGTTGCGGACTAGTAATTACAAAATCTCCTAGACTGACGAATTCGACAATGAGTGGCACTTCTTATATAGTTCTTTGCAAGGAAATTTCTGGACTATTTCTGGACTGGAGTCAATGAAGACACTTTATGACTGGCACAGTTTTGGTTTAGACTTACTCATCAAGACAACTTTCTCTAGACTGGCGGTTCCTGGACTGACGAATTCGACAATGAGTGGCACTTCTTATATAGTTCCTTGCAAGGAAATTTCTGGACTATTTCTGGACTGGAGTCGATGAAGACACTTTATGACTTGCACAGTTTTGGTTTAGACTTACTCATCAAGACAACTTTCTCTAAACTGACGGTTCCTGGACTGACGAATTCGACAATAGGTGTCACCTTTTACATAGTTTCTTGCAAGGGAATTTCTGAACTATTTCTGGACTGGAGTCGATAAAGACACTTTATGACTGGCACAGTTTTGATTTAGACTTACTCATCAAGACAACTTTCTCTGGACTGTCGAATTCGACAATGGGTGGCACCTTTTATATAGTTCCTTGCAAGGAAATTTCTGGACTATTTCTGGACTGGAGTCGATGAAGACACTTTATGACTGGCACAGTTTTGGTTTAGACTTACTCATCAAGACAACTTTTTCTAGACTGACGGTTCCTGGACTAAAGAATTCGACAATGAGTGGCACTTCTTATATAGTTCTTTGCAAGGAAATTTCTGGACTATTTCTGGACTGGAGTCGATGAAGACACTTTATGACTTGCACAGTTTTGGTTTAGACTTACTCATCAAGACAACTTTCTCTAGACTGACGGTTCCTGGACTGACGAATTGGACAATAGGTGTCATCTTTTACATAGTTTCTTGCAAGGGAATTTCTGGACTATTTCTGGACTGGAGTCGATGAAGACACTTTTTGACTGGCACATTTTGATGAATAAAAGTTTCGGGATTAAAAATGTTTGCTGTTTCGTAATTTATTTAGAGTTTCGGTAAAACATATTCGGAGTCGTTTCTGAAAGAAATTTATTTCACTTGACTGGTGTATAATTCAGTCATTAGTGATGACGTAGATAAAGACAAACATAATAATGTAAATGCGAAACTCGCTGTCTGTTATCACGTCAGGAATGGTTCGTGTAGTAGCAAGCGAAGCAAAATTTATCGTGGCGCAAGGCAAGCGTGATAATTCAAGCCATTAATTCCAATCCATTCTAGGAATGCGAATATGCCCCTATATGTGCAGGTGGGGTTTTCGAGGAGGTGTGCGGGCGCTCTCGCATCACGATCATGTGGATGTTAGCGACTCAGGCAGACTCTGCAAAACTTGTCCCTCGTACCGATCGTTACTCAAATTCATATCGCTCTCAAACCCTTTCCCCCTTCTCTAAATGGGGGAGTTCTCTGGAAAGGTGGGTTCGGGAAAGGGGTTTGGAAAGTTCGACTACCAACACCAAAGTCGCGGCCAACGGTTCAATACCGGACAGTATTGTTTCAGAAATCCCATTATAAACGCCCTCTATTTTCACCTTCGCCTCAATTTCTGCCATCGTAGCGCGCGCCACCACCACCACTGTCGTAGTTGTCGGTTTGAAAACCCTTTTATCGGACAGAAACTATTCTCTGCTAAAAGCACTGAAAGCGTCTCCCGATCCGACAAGTTTAAAATCGTGTTTCGCCTGAGGCGCGCGCGACGACCCACATGCACCAACTAGGAGACACTTCTGCCATATCAGATGCACGCTAAAGGAAATGGTAAAAGTATCGATGTCAACCTAGCTCAACAGAAGACATTCTCACAAATGCGATACGATTCCCCATTCATTCTCACTATTCCCGACAGTGCCTTCGTAAACCTTTGAAAACGAAATCTGCTGCATTTTTAAAATCTGGGACAACTTGCTTTCCGTTTATTGCATCTTTTATTTCAAACTACTGCGTTTGCTTACCTATCTTTTCATCCGTTCCTTTATTCTTCTTACTTCAATATAAACTATTAAAGACACTTATTTTCTATCAAGAGAAATTACTCCTGGTTGAAAAATTCAAAATGTCCGGAACAGAATTCCTTACAACCGAATATATAGTAATAACTCCAAATTTATTTGAAAATACTTGATTGAAAATAAAAAATTTTAATGAGATATTTCATTAGAATCATGAAAACTATTTTATTTGTAAAAATCCGGTACTGTGTTAAATTATCAGTTTCAATTTTGTAAGCATGGCTGGTATAATTTACTTTTAATTGAAAACTCGTATTTCCATGAATTAAACGTATTATTTTGAACCAAATGGAATTTATTTCGATAAAATGTAGAATGTCCAATTTCACATTTTTTCCTCTACTCTCCCTTCGTCTCTCAATGTTAAAAAAAATTCACTCCGAACTCTCTCCACTTACTCGGACGCGGTCAAT